CCCCAACTCCGGTAACGTTGCATTCTCAGTATAGCGGGTGACTCAATGTAGCTCGCGCGGAATGCCGAGTGTGTTGATGGTACTCACTCTCAAATACACACGGAGATGACGGATTGGTCCAGTCGGCCTCTCCCCGGCATCTCTGTGTCAGAACAAAGCCCTGGACGCATAGATCAGATATCACAGACAAGAGACTCTTATGGACCAAAAATTGTTCTGTTAGATGCATTGGCCTACATACATAATACAAAGTATTATACTCAGTTCGGGATTCGGAATGTGGTTAATTCGTAAAGTTACACTGTTGTAGGAAAAATAGGAGGCAAAAGAGTAGGAAGTAGACCAAGGACGGTTTACTTTTTGAACTTGAAGAGCTGAGAGACGGGACAAGACCAGGGTGATAAATACGTTTTTACTAATTTATTTGAGCTATACAAATAAAACCCCTCCACGTCTCTGTGTTAAAGCGCAACACACACACACACACACACACACACACACACACACACACACACACACACACACACACACACACACACACACATGCACCCAACTGCACCACATGACAGTTCCTCAGCACCCTATAACTGACAGGCTGGCATTCCGAAGAGGTCAAACAAAAATATAATAGGCCAAGCCCTTCATCCTCCCCTCCCCCCCCCCAACCCTCCCCAAAGCTCCTTTCCCAAAGCCCTCCTTACCCACACACTCACCCAGACACTCTTGTTTGTTATGATTTCTCGTAAGATTGCCGAAATCATAATGTGTTGGCGCGTTAATTGGTTTGTCCCTGCGCCGCCTGGGCGCAGTGTGTTCAGGCAGACGTCATGGCAGGAAGGAAGATGTATCAGGGGCGAGCACTCTGCCAGCTGTGTGCACATGGACCATATGAGAGTGGAGCAAGAGTTATCTCTTATCTGGAACAGCTTTCTATGGGGATTCTTCTCAACTTTCCAAATTATTAACTTTTCTTAGTAAAATAAGTTCTAAGTTCTTTTGTACCGCGGGAACATTTTGATTACGAGGCAGATAGGGACATTTACTTCAATATTTTCGTATTTTGCATTTATGTTTCGGTGCAGTTTGTTAAAAC